AAATGAAACCAGGGGTGAAAACTCAGAGCACTTGGTCAAAGACAAAGAAGCACGATAGCGTGAGGCCATCTCATCTTTTACAGCATCGGCAGGAAGGGAAGGGGCTAACAACCCAACTTTAGAAAAAGATCAAACAGCAAATGTTTGCGAATGTTCTGCTGAGAACGTTTTTCTTAGCCAACAGTGTCACCTCCCTGATGACGTGGTAGTTCATACTTTGCTGTCGTTAACCACCAAGAAGTCTTTTAAACTCTGAAAGTCACCCTTAGTCACTGTGAGACCTGAGTAACCAGGTTTAGTATTTCACAACTTTTTAAAAAATGTCTTTATCTTTGATGTCCGTGTTAAGTGCAGCCATGCACAGCTCGCAGACTCTAAAGTCTCAGAAGTATGACCCTATAATGCATCTGTGATTCCAAACTGTTCTTCTCGGCTTGTTTTCTTTCAGCTGATGGACGAGCAAATCCTGTGTGTCCATGGAGGCCTCTCTCCAGACATAAAGACCCTGGACCAAATTCGAACCATTGAGCGGAACCAGGAAATCCCTCACAAAGGAGCTTTTTGTGATTTGGTGTGGTCAGACCCCGAAGATGTGGATACCTGGGCCATCAGCCCCAGAGGAGCAGGTTGGCTTTTTGGTGCCAAGGTCACAAATGAGGTTGGTTTGTTATACTTGATTACTTTTGATGATATTGATGTAATAAATGTCCTGCTACATGAAAATGTGTTTTTAGGTGTAAAATGATAGCTGTGAAAATATGCAGTCGATTACTATTGCCACAGCTGGAGTCAGATTACGATTTTATCCTCTAGCTACATTCAAACTGTAGCAGGCCCCAAGCTACGCTTTACCTGTACTCCCTCCCCCTCACAAATGGCAGAGATCAAGCTGATCCACAGCAGTATGGTCAGCTGCTAAACTTTATTCATAATGAGCTGTCACCCTTGGCCTCTTCAAAGCCACGGGACTCTGCTGACACAAACTGTGACCAGTCTGAGGTTAACTGGGATCCAGACTCTGTGTATCAGCAGGCCACCGCAGCTGGATGAACATGTACTCCTGTATTTGAAGTACTTGTAAAACTAACAACGTGCCAAATTCAACTTTATGTAAATGATGTAGTGAACATGAGGAGAGCGATATCACGTGAACAGCTGAAGTGAAACACTGTTTACCTGTTTGTATAGGTGTAAATAACATGTTTCAGTAACTCCTTCGACCTCTCTTACTATGACACACTGTGTTTGGAGAAATTTCCCTTCAAAATCAACCTCTCACTTGAACTAGTTCATGGCAGCAGCACAGGATTACTGCAGCCTTGTTTTGGGATTGTAATCATTTTTTCCTCCTTTTCTTCTCTCGTTTCTTTCTTTTAAAAAACTGCAGTTCGTCCACATCAACAACCTGAAGCTGATCTGCAGGGCTCATCAACTCGTCCATGAGGGCTACAAGTTCATGTTCGATGAGAAGCTGGTAACTGTGTGGTCAGCTCCCAACTACTGCTACCGCTGTGGCAACATAGCCTCCATCATGGTCTTCAAAGACGCTAACACGAGAGAGCCCAAACTGTTCAGAGCAGTGCCCGACTCTGAAAGAGTCATCCCGCCCCGAACAACAACACCTTATTTCCTGTAAGCAGGTCAAAGCTCAAACGCAGGCATTTGTGCAGTGCACAGTGCTGACGGGGACAGCTGCATCAGCACTTGAGAGCCCATATACATTTAATACGTTTAGAGTATCTACAGTGCATTTTTGCTGCCAACTGTCAATTGCTACTCCCACTCTGTGCATTCAATACCATTATTCTGCAGCTTAAACCAGTACAGCAAAGGAGGCTCGCTGAGCAGTGTCACACTGCTGGTGTGTAACAGAAAAGAAGAAAGTTGGCTAACCCCTGTAAAATATTCATATTTATAAATCAACATAAGTTGTCACTGCTAAGCAAACTGTGCGCAGTGTCCTAAAGACTCTTCTATTGTAGTTTCTTATGTAAATACAGCTGCGTGTCAGAGGAGCACGCACTGCACAAACGGAAACGTTGTATCTGTCCAACCAAGTTTCAAAAGAGGTGTCCT